TTCTCCTGCCTGCCAGGGCAGGGATGTTGAGTTGTTGTTGTTGTTGTTGTTGTTGTTGTTGTTGTTGTTGTTGTTGTTTTCTCAACGGGAGTTTGACTGATCAAACTGGAGAGCTTCCTCAACAGAGAACGAGAGGGGGGGTGTGAGCTCACGCGTTTCCCCGAGGCTGCGCCTCAATGCTGCTAACTAACCGCCCCAGGAAGCAGAGACCGCAGCCTTAGTAAAGTTGAGTTTGAGTTTAAATTTATTTATAGGCCGCCCTTTTCCCTAGGGGGACTCAGGGCGGCTTACAACATATAGGGAGGGAATACACACAATGACAGTTTAAAAAAGGCCGGCTGGTGGGTCAGCCGAAGGGGGGTGGGCTTCCACAGCGTTGTTTAGCGGAGTAGAAGGGGCACCCCTTTACCCAGGATCAGAAGCCGAAGGAGGAAACCCCCCCCCCCAAAAGAACCCCAAACTTGCGAAGGGTGGGAAAAGAGACTTCACGTTCGGGAGGGATCTAGTGGATCCCCGCGCCGTCCTCCTCCGATCCCAACGACCCCTGGGGCGAGGTAAAGCCAGCAGAGAATGAAAGGGCGGAAAAACACCGCGCGGAGTTTTTCCAAAGTTTCTTTCCTCCGGAGCAAAAACTCCCCTGGCGGGAGATATGGCGGGGGACGGACCTGGAGTCCGCGCAACGATGCAACGATGCTCTTCTTAACGCCTTTCCGTCTTCTCCCGTCCCCGCATCCCACCCACCCACCCCCCGGGTGACTTGGGATTTGAGCCTATTGCTGTGCTGAAAGCCACATTTACTTTGCGCCGGGACCGCGGGGCTGAAGTCGCTATCCCGGGGGAAATCCTGAACGCCTTGGGGAGACTGGATTGGCTTCTACTTTTAATACCTGGGAGGAACCATTAAGTCCTAACGCCTTAGGATGCTTCGCTTCTTTTCAGGAAAGCGCGGAGGATTTGCAATAGTCTCTGGGGAAATTTTTTATCGAAGGCAGGACGGAAAGAATTGCTTTTTGGCGCAGCTGGCCCGCGGAGAAAGAAAGTAGGGATTGGAT